TAGTGCCAGGAATGTCTGCACTGCTTATACTGGATCCTATTTTGAAATTTGCCGTTCTTGAATTTTGTGTGAAATTGGCCAAATTAGTAATTTCAGACCACTTTATCAGGTAGTTGAAATAAGTAAATGGGCAGTTTCTTGTACTCAACTCATAGAATAAACGAAGTTTTAGCGAAACAGCTATAACTTTGGTCAAATGGAACAATGAAATTGGCCCAAAATAGGGCTCAAAGTGAGTAAAATCGGCAATGCGTTAGGTATCGCCGAGACTGCTAACTTCCATCAAATTTCATACTTGTGGTTTCATTACCTTCACAAGATGCACAGCAGAAGTTCAAGAGATGTTTACAGTATGTGTCGCTATACTGATTGAGACCCACGCTGTGGACTCTGGTGATCATGTGATCTGAGAGTTGTCAGTCGACAATCAAGATCACGTATGAAATCCAGGACCGAATTCCTAAGTGAGGAGAGGCTGTATATGTATGTATACAATATATATATATATATATATATAATATATATATATATATATATATATATATATATATATATATATATAAATATATATATATATAAAATATACCGTAATATATATATACACACCTACCATTCGACTTACGACCTGCTCGACTTACGACTGTGTTTTTTATGTCAAATTTCTGGGAAATAAACAACTATTTGTGTTGTACACAGCGTTTATCCTAAACCTTACAGTATAAAATACAGTACTAACAACATAAAAAGTAAAGTAAAACATGAAATACCAAAATAAAACAATAAAATAAAGTCATTACAAAAATGTTTTGTTGATATTCAGTAGTAAAGTTCGACTTACGACCATTTCGACTTATGACCAGTTTCTCGGAACCGAACTCGGTCTTAAGTCAGATGGTAGGTGTATATATATAAACAAGTAGGCCATCTCCCACCTAGGCAGGGTGACCCAAAAAGAAAGAAAATCCCCAAAACAAAAATACTTTCATCATCATTCAACACTTTCACCTCGCTCATACATAATCACTGTTTTTGCAGAGGCACCCAGATACAACAGTTTAAAAGCATATATAAAAATACAATATAAAAAGTGGTATTTAATCAATAACAACACTGCAACTAGCCGGGTGATTGAATCCGTGCTGTTTTAGCCTGCATCATGGTGAGCGCAAATTCGTGACACACTAACCCACCGGACCATACAGTCCTACCATAGGATTATATGGCTAGAGCATCGTGAATTTTCACTCGCCATGAGGCGGGCTAAAACAACATGGGCTTGATCCCCTGGCTAGTTGCAGTGTTGTTATTCATATTATATATATATATATATATATATATATATATATATATATATATATATATATATATATATATATATATATATATATAAAATGTATATGTATACAGTGGACCCCGTTTCCCGATGTTACCGGTATCCGATAAATTCGGTTGCCGATGCATTTGATCGAAAAAAAATTTTGCCTCGCTTCCCGATACAAAACCTTTTATGCGATACAATTCGTACGAGACGTGTCCACTTGTGGCCTGAACTCCCCTGTGTGTACCAGTGTTTACAAGCCAGCCAGTGTGCGCGGATCCAAGGATACATTCGGTACATTCCATATTATCCATATTATCACTGTTTTTGGTGTTTGTTTCTGCAAAATAAGTCACCATGGGCCCCAAGAAAGCTCCTAGTGCCAACCCTTCGAGACCAAGGGTGCTAATGACTGTTGAAATGAAGAAAGAGATAATTGCAAAGTACGAAAGTGGAGTGTGTCGGAACTGGTCAGGTTGTATAGTGAACCCCAGTCAACCATCTCTACTATAGTGAGCAGGAAAATGGCAATCAAGGAAGCTGCTCTTGCAAAAGGTGCAACTGTGATTACAAAACAGCGACCGCAAGTGTTAGAAAATGTTGAGAGACTGTTATTGGTGTGGATAAATGAAAAACATATAGCAGGAGATAGCATCTTTCAAGCGATCATTTGTGAAAAGGGTGATGAAAATCACCCTCACACAGCTATTGCAAGCCATGCTGGTGACTATTACACTGACAATGTTGTGAAACACTTTAGGAAAGTCATAAAGGAACGAGAGGTACAGGCCTCTATGGACAGATATGTTGTGCGACAGAAGTCCAGTGACTCTCAAGCTGGTCCTAGTGGCATTAAAAGAAGGGAAGTAACCCCAGAAAAGGACTTGTTACCTCAAGTCCTAATGGAAGGGGATTCCCCTTCTAAACACTAAGACCATCCACACACTCCCCTCCTCCCATCCCATCAATCATCACCAGATCTTCAATAAAGGTAAGTGTCATGTAACTGTGCATGTCTTCTTCAGTTTGTGTGTATTAAAATTAATATTTCATGTGGTAAAAAAAAATTTTTTTCATACTTTTGGGTGTCTTGCACAGATTAATTTGATTTCCATTATTTCTTATGGGGAAAATTGAATCGCTCTCCGATAATTTTGGTTTACGATGAGCTCTCAGGAACGGATTAATATCGTGAACCGGGGGTCCACTGTATATATACGATATATCAATAACAACATTGTGACTAGCCAAAGAGTCAAACCCATGCTGCTTTGGCCCGCGTCATAGTGAGCAAAAGATACATGATGCTCTATTCAATTTGACCACACAATTCTCAAGAATGATGCCTCAGCCAAGCTAGGTGTTGTACTCGTCATCCAAGAACATACAGTGGTGTGGATACCTCTGAGCTAATTTCATTCTACTCCCTGTTTGGTATATTAGCCCAATGTGCAAAAATTTATAATATTGTACCCATGAACGATGGGTACAATAATATATACAGTGGTACCTTGACTTATGAGTTTAATTCGTTCTGTGACTGAGCTTGTAACTCAGTTTGCTAGTATATCATTGAAAAACCTCATCGTCATTGAAATTAACTGAAATGCCATTAATCTGTTCCAGCCCCCCCAAAAAAACGCCCCAAATTTTTTTGTTACAGGTTTTTAAATGAGAAAAACTTATTTGTAAATAAGAAATATTGTATACTCCATCCACCACCATCACTACTCCACCCGCCACTATATCTACTCCACCTACCTTAACTAATGTTTCTTGAAAAAACTGTATTGAAATGGAGGTTCTCTCTTTCCCGGATTTATACGAGAATCAAACAAGGGACGAGGTCCCTCAGTACAATCTGGGATTAGTGTAGGAGTATTATCCTTTCAGTCATGTCTTGGAAGAGCATGTGTGATGGGACAAAGTACCTGACATTCCTCTGGGTACAGAGTTGGATTTGACTTCAGATATGCTGCCAATTAGTGGCAGCATATCTGATACTCGCTCGTAACTCGGATAATCGACCGAGCGATGGCTAATAACTCAGAAAACTTGTAAGTTGGGGCACTCTTAAGTCAAGGCACCACTGTATTTATATACAGTGAACCCTTGGTTTTCGTGAGTCTCAGTTTTCATGAATTTTGGTTATTGGCAACTATTTTCATCAAAATAGTATACATATACGACCGAAACAGTCAAACAGCTAAGCATATCAGTAATCACCAGTGTTTTCATACAAGATGTAGTTTGACTCTTAAACTTTTTCATGGTTCCTTCGGTATCAGTGGTATTTCTTTTTAGTGCCAAAGTTAATATCCAGAAAAGACAAAAGAACACAAGTGCAACTAATATGACATTGTATTGTGGCAACGTTTCACTTTCTGGGAGCTCTGTCAAGTTGTTAATGGCTTGACAAAGCCCCTGGAGAGCAAAATGTTGCCACAGTAAAATGTTGCATTAGTTGCACTTAAGTTCTTTTTACTTAACATACTGTTGGTAATTCTACCAACATTATCCAGAAAAGCACCATGGTGATGAAAACATTAAAAATAGGCAGATAAACACAAAAAAAAAATCGTGATGTTGAACAAGTTATAACGGCTATTGACTGCATGGGTGTGGGTGTTTCCACACCTTGGAATGATACTAGCCCTCCCCCTAACTATGGTCTTGCCCCAAGACAAAACGGGAAAATATTCCATCAAACGGTGGTTATTTACAGTGAAGCTTGTTGTTTAGAAAGAAAATGTCAATCGAACTACGTATATTGGCAACATGGTGCATGGTAGCATGCAGTGTGGTGGTCTTCTATTTATATATTTTATCAAGCTGGGTGAGATGTACAATTATCTGCTTTTATATTTTGCCATGAATATAAAGCTGATCGATACAATAGTTTTTCTTTTTTATATAAAATTTGAATCACTTTGGGAAAGCCTATGTTCTTATATTAATTCTATACAGTGGACCCCCGCATAGCGATCACCTCCGAATGCGACCAATTATGTAAGTGTATTTATGTAAGTGCGTTTGTACGTGTATCTTTGGGGGTCTGAAATGGACTAATCTACTTCACAATATTCCTTATGGGAACAAATTCGGTCAGTACTGGCACCTGAACATATTTCTGGAGTGAAAAAATATCGTTAACCGGGGGTCCACTGTATATATATTAGAGGTAAAGGAGGTTTTGTGTGCAAGGGGCTTTGACTTCCAGCAAACATGCGTGAGCATGTTAGATAGGAGCGAATGGAGACAAATGGTTTTTAGGACTTCACATGCTGTTGGAGTGTGAGCAAGGTAACATTTATGAAGGGAGTCAGGGAAACCAGTAGGCTGGACTTGAGTCCAGGAGATGAGAAGCAGAGTGTCTGCACTCTGAAGAAGGGGTGTTAATGTTGCAGTTTTATAACTGTAGTGTAAGTGCACCTCTGGCAAGACAGTGATGAAGTGAATAATGATGAGTTTTTCTTTTTCAGGCCACCCTGCCTTGGCGGGAGAAGGCCGATGTGTTGAAAAAAAAAAATCTAAATTTTTTTTTATGGCTGATATTTCTTGTCCAGTATAAATTCTGTTGGTGTAATATTTGTTATTCAGTTTGTAAGTATAATTGGAAAATTGTGATAGTCTTACAATAATAAACCTCGAGTTTGAAAATAAGGAGTTGTCCTTTCCACAG